TGGGTGTTTTTTCATATGCATTTTTCGCTAACATAGCAAATTTCAAAAAATCGGTAAAAATAGTTCCTGAAAGCAAAGTGTGAATTTTTTTTTGCCCAATCGATAGGTACTTTTATATAGATTCACGTGATATAGGTGAATATAGGCGACATCTTCTAGTTTGGCCGCACTAGAGTGTCAAATTTGGGTGTTTTTTATATGCATTTTTGAGATTCTTTTCATCTTCTGATTTTTTTAATTTTGGCCAAACATTTCATTTATATTTTTTTTTGCTTTCTTTATTCATTTGCAGATGGGTCTTAATCTGCCCATGCTTCTTGCCAATTCGCAGCCTTTAGATACATGGAATCCTGTTGGTCAATTTTCGCCTCCGCCTATTAGTGAACGCAATCAATTGCGTGTACCGTTGCCTATGCCATTTTCTGCGTCTCAAAGTGATTTGAATACGAGCGGCACAGGTGGGTCACGTAGTCTCTTCGGTGGCAGTAGTAACAGTGATTTTTCGGAAAGCCCTCAAAAACCAATGGACACAACGGATATGGAGAATGATGATAATAAACCCGAACAATTAGATACCAAATGTGAACGTACAACACCTATACCGTCCAATATTCAGGATCCCACCGCCAGTGCAGCTATTACGGACAGCCGGATAAGTATAGCAGCCAATGGCAGTAATGTCGAGGCCGCCAACGGTAATTGTGTGGGTGGAGACGGTAGCGGAAGACTTAGTAGTAGAAGTGGTGTCCCGGGCACAGAAGCCAGTTCTAGTCCTATACCAAATACAAACACTCACGAAGCCCATAAACAAAGACATTTAATAGCGGGCACTGCCATAGCTAGCGGGTCACGTGATCCACATGATGAGCTTGATATTAAACAAGAACTATTAGTAGATTATTTTCATGCACCACATCCGCCAGCACCGCCCGATTCACATCGTTCCTACTCGTCAGCAGATGACAATCGCCATTGCAACGAAGCCACCGATGAATTTGCTCAAGATTTACGCATAAGTGCGGCAGCAGCTGCAGCGGCCAAAGGTATCGATTTTAGTCGGTTTGTACTGCCACCTGGCATGAGACGCTCCACCGAATCTATAGATGAAAAATTTTCCCCTCTCAATATGCGCAAACTGAACACAGTTAGTACGGCATCCAGTGCTGGTCATATGCTCATGAATTCCCTGCTCACTAACGACAGCATGTCCGAGGATAATACAACGTCGCTTAGTGGGCGTCGCAAATCCGGCAGCCTGGGTAATGGAGCCGTTGGCTTAGGCAGTGCCTCGCAGGAAGCTAGTTCTTCAGCTGCGGCAGCTGCAGCGGCGGCCGCATTTTATGCCGAAAGTCTGAACAAAGATGACTGCGACTTTGTCGGCTCTAATGTTAGTGTGAAACTGCGTTCTATGGATCGGACGCAACGCATTATAGCGGAGAAATTAATTAGTGAGGTGCTATTCTACGGCCAGTTCAATGAACTGGAACGCAGTGCTCGCATACAACCAAAGTGACAGTTAATTGCACGCATGTTACGTAAAGGATTTTGAAAATATATGAATAATCAAATCATAAAATCTTTGGGAAATTGGAAAGATTTTTTAGAGAAGACAAAACCTATAATTACATGATCTAAAAATGTATTTAGAATTTTCCTTTTTTTTTTTTTTTTAAGATTTAAGTTTTTTTCTTGAGTCTTATTCTAAACAAAGATTGTTAAAGAACACTGTGTTGCACGTATTAAATGACAATTGAAGTACCGCATATGCTTAAAAAATATGTCTTATGTTTGCGGACTTAATTATAAATAGAATTTTTTTTTTTTTCATTCTTTCGATTCTTGCGCCGGCTGCGTGACATCAAACATCGAACTAACCGAGCAAACTGAGAAACAATCCTTAAATCGACGCTTAATAAATAATAAATATCTGGGATCTTTTAAGTACGGCAAAATCGTAAACCTTGCTTTTCAACTTTGCGCTTTCCTTCTCTTAATTACTACAGTCGAAGATGTCCTAAATTAGAAATCATATATCTATAGTTATGCTGATTAAGCTTAGATTTTCCTATACGTTAGGCATTTTGAATGCCAAAAGATACTAATATACTTTTAACTTAAGGCTTAAAACATAAATATGTAGTCGCACAGTGTTTTATAAATCATTTTTTCTAAAGTGTAAAGAAAAGTTCCATTTTTCATATTATTTGGCTTAAAATTTCTCGAAGTGAGAGATTATTTCTAATCAACGGCAGCAACATAAACCAAAGAAGAATTATTTTATAAACATCCCATTGAGCTGTAAATTTATGCTCAAATAATTTAAATAGCAAAACAATAAATTTTAAATGTGTTCAGACTTTATATTCCTAACTTCAAAAAAAAAAAAAAAAAAAAAAAAAGAAAGGTTATATACATTTCCAATGACAATCTTTGGAATAACTGTAAGCTATGATACCTTTCAGAAACATTTATCATGCAAAGCTTATGCACCAAGTAAAAGAGGCATCGGCTTGATCAACATAGAACGAGCCCTAAATGGTTCGTATTCTATTTTCCGCGGTACAATATGCATGCTTAATATGCATGCGCAGTGAAGGTGAGATTGTCCGATAATGACTGTCGAAGAAAGAAAAGCACTTTGAAAGGATGATGCCAATCTTTCCTATCGATTTGATGTGATAGGGATCTGATGTAAATGCTATAGCAATCGTTCTGATTGCTACGTACAATGCCATAAATGCTATAACATTTCAATTATTTTCCATTCAATTTTTTTATAGCGTCGTGGTTTTTTAATTATTATATTCCTGACTTTTTCAATTTTTCCAAATTATTTTGTTTTTTCTTAATTTACATGCGGCCCGTTAAAATTCGTAGACAAATTCTACACTAGCAAGGCCGTAACTTAGCCTATCCTTCGATGATGGATATAAAAAAAAAGAAGCGAATGAAAGCCTCCTATACATATATATATATATATATACATATATAAAAAAATGCATTACTTTCTTAATTAATTAATAACAACAACAACAAAATTAATTAAAGTACCTCGCTTTATTATGAATGTTTCGTTTTTTGTTACGTTTCTTAAAAAACAAAAAAATGAACTTGATAAAAATGTCAGTCAGTCAGTCAATTAGTCGACAGATTACTACTCAAAAGTTCAATAATCGAAACTTAGTCATTTTTTTTTTTTGTTTTTTTTTTAAGTTGTTTGTGTTCTCAAGACATAGCCAAGTCATAGTTGTTTTCTTCTTAAGATAATTCTAATAAAATTTATATAATAAAATTAATTATGAAAAAAAATATATATATATATATATATTTTTAATAAATGTACACTTAATGCCTATCTATACATATATATACATATATTTTTTTAAAATTTTTTTTCAATAATTTCAAATTATATATTAGTCTAAATTATTATTATAGCAAGTAAGCGAATATTACAAAAAACGAAAAAAAAAAACAAAAAAACATTTTTTTAAAAAAATACTTAAGTTAAAAACAAACCAACTAGAATTTAATTGTTTCAAAAACATTTAGTTTTAAGTTAAGCATATGAAAAACAAAAAAACAAAAATATTTATAATATTACTTATCGTCATATATTGTAAATGTTAAGTGTTTTTAAGTTTTTTTTTTATAAAAATGAATTATGTATACATATATACTCTAAATATATATATATATATATATATATATATATATATATACTTTAAGTGTTAAAAATTATTAAATTGTGAATGTAAAAAAGAAAAAAGAAATGAAAACTAGAAAAAGAGAGAAAAAAAAAAAGAAAAAATTAAATTTGCTCTAAATAAATCAAGAACTATGGAGGAGAACTGTATACCTGAATTATTCCGATGGTTTGACTGTTAAAGTTATTTGATATTATCAACTTAGTTGCATATGGAAAAGCTCTTAAGGAATAAAAATTTTTTTATAAAAAAAATCAATTTATTCTTTAAACCTTATACTCTTTCAAAACAGGCAGATTAATATTTTAAAATCATTATCCGCAAAAAAAGTTTTTCCTTGAAAACTTCGAAGTTTTTCCTAATCGCTACGACAAGCCTACCTATATCAAATGAATCCCTGCAAGGTAGATACAACCTAATGTCTTGCCTGTTGATTTTTAGATTCTCTAATATATTAAGGGATGTCTTCGGAAAGTATTTATATTCATTTAAAAGCATCTAAAAAACTTCTGACGAGAACTTAAAAGTTTGGGATAAAGCTTTTGGAATTTATTGTGAATTTTATTCATATCATTTTTTCTAACATTTCGCAACATTGAAAGCGTATAGCGTGAGATGAAAGAAAAGAAGCACGTTGTAGCAAAAACCTATTGGGCAAAGATAACGAGGATTAATATTTGAGCTTGGAACGGCAGTCTTCAAATTAAAAAAGAAAATTTCGTCTTTGTACATATCATAATTTAAAAAGAGCTTATCGCGAAATAAGATTTTTGAAAACAGCCCTTAATGTAATTTAGGAAACTTTCATTTGAATTCCTAGTGAAGCACTTCTTCGATAAGTTAATTAATAAAAGAAAAGTGCATTTTTTCATTGAAATATTCGCCAATCATAAAAAGGTCAATACTTTCAAAAAATCCTACGTATTTCTCTACCTTAGCGCATGCAGATTACATTGCTTTTGTTTTTTTTTTTTTTTAAATTGAAATTTGCTCCAAAATAGGAGAGGAGAATACTTCCGGTATTCCCGTTTTTTAATATTTTTCCAAAATAATTTTTTTTTGTAGTACTCAACTCCTTCATTTTGAGATGTTCCTTAGTATGGCTTGTTTTTGTGGTTCTCAACAATATGCTTATTAAGCCCCTTGCATACTATTACTCTATTACCTGTTAGGTGTTCCAAAATGTACGCCAAGATTTGAATTAAATAGACAGCATAGTTTTTTTTAATTACAATTTTTTTATTGAATCATTGTGTAGATAGTATAGGATCATGGCATAGCATATCGCGCAAATGGCCTCCACGTAGGCACTCTTTTATCGAAATTTTCCCTGACCATTTTGCATAAATATGTCCGAATTTCGTTGATGCATCGTTTAATCGCTTCCTTCAATGCACGATTACTTGTGGACTTGTTGGCATAGACCTTTGACTTCAAATAGTCACATAAAATTAAAATCCAGTGTCAGTTACTCTCTTCGCATCTGATGAAATTAAATTAATATTCCGATCATATGTTTTACGAAATTGGCGAACTGTTCCGCCAAAGTTTCATCATTTTTGATACCTTGTTCAGCAATGAAATCACGTTGCTCTCTCTCTTGTAGTGTTCGATTTTTACTATACCTCAAGTTTCAGCTATAAAACTGTTTTTTTTTTTTTTTTTGAGCTACCAAAACGTTACCCCACAAATAGCGGTAAATTCAAACATTGTGTAAATTTGGAGACAATGTGTACTTTTAGCACATATCTTCACAGCAAACAACCATGGAAAAAAATATTATTTTGGCGTACTAAGGGAATGTGAAAAGTTTTGATCATCAGAACAATCTTTCATTAACATTTAGACTGCACTGCTCTATTTTTCGAATCTCTTCTCATATAAGTGCTTTTATGGAAGATTAACCTTTACATAATAGCAAAGCTTGGGATATATTGTTTTATTGTTCACCATAAAATAAAATAAACTTAATCAATTTGTAGATCTCTGGTCACGTTTCAAACTTCATTTGATATACGAGTTTTCACGAATAGTAAGTCTTTTCATAGCAATGACTTGATGCTTTGCAACGATGGCAAGGGAAAAATTGCATCAGGGGAAATGGTGTAGAGTATTGCATATCGGATTATAAAGTTTTAATGACCTTTCATCAAATTTTTATAAACGATTCCAAATTTATGTTTTCACACAATTTTCCAATTCAATAAGTTTCATACAGCAAGGACAGAAAAACAGTTGAAAAACATATATATGTCAAAATTGCGGTAAGACATCAGTATGTGTATATAACGATGGAAAATTTTCGAAAACAAAAGTTATCCAAATATTTTTGAACTATTCACAAAACTGGGGGAAACTGGTTTACGAACGAGAGGTAACCGCTCTTCCAAAATCGCGGCCAAGGAAAGCAGTCGTAAAAATGTACTCATAATTATAACAGGAATTAGTAGCTTTTAATAAACTGGGCGCCTTTTTAATAAAACCATTGTGTCCAAAGCCTTGTCACGCTAAGCTACGCATATAACCCACTTACCCTAGTTATGCGATCCTTCGTTTCTTTAACGTGTTTAAACCAGGTTTTCATTATTTTATTTTTTATTACTCATTACTCATTACTTTTATTCATTTCAGCATTTAATTCGATTTTAATGGCACATTAGATCACTTTATTGGAAATTTTTTTAAATTCTACCGAACTATCTCAGTTATTCTAAGTCATCAATCATTTTGTAATAATTCTGGTGGCGAACCAGTCTCGTTAATTGCTAATTAAAATATCCAATTGGTGCAATTTGTGTTAAAAAGAGAACGAGGCAGCAATTATCTCCGATTTGATATCACTTGTTGGGGAAAAGAATTTTCTATTCACATCGCCAACGCGATGTGACCCCAAACAGTCAACTTTCTTGCTGCTGTATTTAATTTACCTATCTTACAATTTCGATATAGTCAATTGCGGCGCAGCCCTCCATTGAACCAAAATTTGTTCAATAATCAAGAATAATTTTCGTCACCTTGATATGAATGTGGAAGCCGTCACTAAGATGATGTAATTAGAAGGGAACATCATAGCAGTATGCCTAAAATCGTGATATCTTGAGTTTGCAATGTAAGGAAATACGGCCGGTCTAGAAAACGTTAGCTGCTCGAAGTTGACAGTCCCCGCTCTTGTTAGGAAACACTACCTCTTTTTTGGTAACTTGCTATCTGTTCGAATAGGACTTCCATTATTTGAAACATGACAAAAAAATTAACCTCAAAATACCAGTTGTGCTTTCTCCGCGACATTCACATTCAGCATAAACGATAGGAGAAGTAATGCGTGATGAAATCCAATAGTTTGAAAAAAAGATTTCGTTTTATTTTTTTAATAATATACAATTTTGCAATTTTACTACAAAATCAGAAGAAACTTATTTTACTCCGTCCACATTTTGCGTATGCAATATGCTGAAAGACCAACACAAAATAAAATAAATTAAAAAAAAATTTAAGAAAGTGTCTACCGAAAGTCTTGCAAACTACTAAGTTAGTCCTCCAGACTAAAAAAATTTTCTTAGGCTATCGGTTCTATGGCAACTCAACCATATTTGAGAAATGACTCCACGACGATTGAGTTGGCAACTGAGATTCTTTGTAATTAAGGTTTCTACGACAGAAGCAGGCGAATTTATGAATAAGCGGTTTTTACCGGCTAAGTCATTTCGCCAACTTACATCTTATGACACTTTCTATTATTTTTACGTCATTGAATGTATGGCATTAAAATTGTGCAAATTTTTGAGATAAACAAACGGATAGAACTATAACCATCACCTAAGGGGATAGAAGACTTTTCACAGAAACTTGACATACACTAACTCAAAGCAAAACGCTGTAATTGTGTCAATTTTTACATTTGTACAGTGCATTTGAGAGGATCTTGAAAAACAGATTCATCACATTTTATAAAAATGTTTCTTATCGGCTCTTCCTTACAGTGCTTATCTATCTTATCTGTCCACACTCTGTCGTAACAGACGGCGGACAAATAGACGGACCGACAAATTTAAATCGAGTATGACTCATGATCACCATCAAAGGTTTCTGCAATAGACACTAGAAGAATCGATGAATAAATAAAAAAAATATACGCAGCTCTTTTGGCTGATCTTGAAAACAGTTTTATCACATATTTCTTATTTTTTTTCATTAATTCTTCATGCTGCCTTAACACGGCAGTAAGTGTTTTTCCAATTTTTTCATGAATATTCAAATATTTTGCTACGTAACGTGAATATTTCTTATAGGCTCTTCCTTATAGGGCTTTAAACACTTTCGTCTTTCAAATTTCTATCGCAACATGCAATTGACAGACGGACGAACTCCGACTCATGACTGTAATGATTTCCAAAAAAGGGAAATGGACGTATAGACAAAGTCTATCCCAAATCAAAATTACCTGTAGCTTGATGGGTAATAAATGATAACAATAAACTTTAGTAGACTTGCTTGTGGAAAAAAAAAAATATAACACTTACTTTTACGCACATCAAAAGTGTATATTTTTTAACATATGCTCCTTCTTTCCCAAGTGATGTAAAATTCCATATATTTGAGGCAATAATCTTTCTCCAACCAAACCGATATAACCATTTGTAAGATTCACGCTTGATTTTTCTCAAAGAGATTTTCTCAAAATTGCACTTGTACACTAATACTAATGCTATTAACACTTCATTGCTACACTACATATATATTTTCTTTGTAAAACAAAAGCTTCCACCTTTGTGATTGCACACAATCACAATCAACCGCTACAATAAATTAAAAATTATTTAAGCAATTTATAGCTTATTTATTAAAGGCAACAACAACAAAGAATTAACATATACCGGAAATTGTTAAAAATTTTATTTACATTGCTCCACTAAAAGCTACGCTTTCAACTATTTATTTACTTTGCGATTGTTGCGCGGTTAGAATTCCCGGTTAAACAAAGTGCTGCCAAGTTGGGTAATTACTCGATATCGAATTTCTCTATTATATATATATATATATATATATATATATGAAATTTATCGATATGTTGTCTGTCGATAACCTTTCATATTCGATAGGGAAATTTTTGTTTTAAAAATTAAAAAAAATCCAAGACACAACGGAATAGTGTCTGAATTAAAATAAAGTCACAGATACAAAGAATTTTTATATTTCTACGGTATTTTATTAAAAAGAAAAATAAGACTTTGTAGGGAAAATACACATATATATATATATATATATATATATATATCTATATATATAGTTGTTTCTTTTTTATTCACTCATTGTTTATAATAAATTAAAATATAACTGCAAATGCTTTTCTTATTTAAAAATAAAAAAAAAAAATAAAAATTGAATTTAAAAAGAAACACATATATGAATTAAAAATAATTAAAACTACAATAGTTAAAAATATATTTTTTAAAAACATTTTCTCTTTGAAGCAATTGCTCTATACTTGATGATTTGTAAGTTCCTTACGTTAAATCAATTAAACCAAAAAATAAATGGAGAATTTTCCAAATTTCTCCATTACCGTTCGAATAAATATTTTTTTCTTTTGTATGCCTTTTGGGAACAAAAATTTTAAAGAATTTATTAAAAAAAAGAAAAGAGAGTTTTAATACAACGAATTAAGAATAAGCAAAAATAATTATGTACAAAAAAGCACACACTTAATTTTAAATGGAAACGGAAAATAAAAAATAAAAAGTATATATATATATATAAAAAAAAAAAAAAATTCTAAACTTGCAAAGTCAACGTACAAAAAGTTCTTAAATTTAAAAAAAAAAAAAAAAGAGGATGAATTGTTACATAAAAATTTTAATGGTACTAAGTTTGGTTGTAAATTCAAGTTTGAGAGAATTTTTTGTTTTGGTCAATGCCAAAGTAAACACGAAGCCACCTGCTTGACCCATCTATTTACATGATTGATAGACCACGTCGTCTTTAAGAGCGCAATATATAAATAAATCACATGTGTTCATCTCATTTCCCATTCCTGTCCAATTCTGTTGTTAAATAGCTAATCGATGTAATGATAACGCGACCAACTTTTTGATCATATCTTCATTTCTGTTCTTTTTTTTTTTTTTTTTTTTTTTTTTTTTTTGCTTATTTCTCAATCGTTTTATATTGTTATTCATATAACGTTAGTATTGAACTAGAGTTTTATTAATGTTTTTGTTTGATTTCATAGACTTCATAAAAACTAGTCGTTATTCATGCATTCCACTCAAATATTTAGATATTATATTTGTATTTTTGAGACACAAGAATAGGAAAAAAATCGGATGAAAAGGAGGAGGAGAATTAAGAGGGATTTATTTTGAAGGCGGGCTTTTTTTTTGTTTTTAATTTCGTTATTGTTAAACTGGTAATTTGTTTGTGGCATTTTTTGAAATATGTTTTCTATTTTATTCTAATTTATGGTATATTCGATCAATTTATATATTTTGCTTTTCAACTTTTCATAATTATCGTGTAAATAAAGATTTGCGTGTCGCATTTGACTTCGACGATAACGACGACATGTTTTTTTACAGAAACTACATAAAGACTTCAGTTAAAATTCAAAGCCGAACGAAGCACCACTCGGACCACCACTAAACTGGAAAAAATGACGGAACATTTGATTTGGATCAAAGTCAGCTGCAAAAGAATTATAAAAAAAGAAGAAGAAAAAAACCCGTTTACAAATATCCAAAAAGCATACGCAATAAATATAAACAAATGCTAACCACTTACGTTGTTCTTGATCTTCAATATCTTGATCATTATCGTAGCGCACTTTTTTGCGTGGATCTGATAAAATCGCATAGGCTTCGCCAACTTCTTTAAATTTCAATTCTTGTTCTTTGCGCTCGTCTAACGAACTATTCGCATGACGATCCGGATGATGCACCAATGCTTTTTTACGATAGGCTTTCTTGATTTCATCATCACTAGCATTTCTAGGTATACCCAATATTTTATAATAGTCCTTACGTTTCGATTTCTTTAAAGCAAATTTAGCATCACGTAAAAGTTTTTTTATTTCTGGAGTCTTTTGTAATTGCAATGCGGCCTCATAATCGCTAACGCTCTCTTCATATTTCTCAATGTCATTATGGCAGCGAGCACGTAATAGCAGAGCTTTCAAGTACTGAGCATTAATATCAAGCACATTTGTACAATCGACAATCGCATCACGTGTGTTGCCAATTTTCGAATTAACCAATGCACGATTGTACAGCAGTTTCGAATTGATTTCCTTATTCAGCTCATCGATTTTTAAAGCATCTGTGTAAATAGTCTGCGCTTCGCGGTAACGACCAGATTTGAACAATACGTTGCCCTTCTCTTTCATATCCTTTAGTGTTTTGCTTTTAGTGCGCATTTCTTTGGCCTTTTTATGATCGGGATCAAGCTGTAAGGCCAGCTCGAAATGTTTAATGCCTTTCTCCAAATTATCCGTATAATAAAAACATAATCCGCGCACGTATATTGCATCCGCCGATGTGCTATCCAATTTTATGACACTAATGGCAATGTCGACAGCTTCATCGCAACGGCCTAAAAAGGCTAAGCATTCAGCCTTCAACAGACGATATCTGTATATATAAATTAATGTTGTATAATAAGAAAATTTAAAAAAAAAAAAAAAAAATGCTTCTATGATTCTATATTTACCTATAACAAGCCGGTGCTAATTTTATGGCAGCATCCAAATAATACACTACGTTGCGATAATATTTTGAATCATAATTGTTTTGTATTGTTTGTTCCAGTTGTCGTAATTGCTGCAAAGTTTGTTTCTCACCCTCTACGGCATTACTTTGGGGATCAAGTTCTTCAATCTTTTTGATGGCTTGTTCTATGCCAATAATGTCACCCTTGGCTACACAACATTTGGCGATACGTACGTAAGCTTTCTCGAAATTCGGATCTAATCGAACAGCAGTACGTGCATCATTCAATGCATTCGTATAATTGGACATCATCATATAAGTAGCCGCACGATTCCCATAATAGGTCGACGAATCCGGACATAATGAGATGGCATCTGAATAAAATTTCAAGGCTGATTGATAGTTTTTGGCTTTATATTGTTCGTTGCCAAGTTTTTTCTTTTCTTCAGCAATGCTGGAAATATATAAAAAAAAAAAAAAAAAAAGGAAAAGAGATAAGGGACGTGCGATTACTTTATCCTTTTTATTCTAAGGTATTTTTTTTTTCAACTCTCTCTAGTATAAAAAAATATTATAGCATTTCTACTCTTTATCAAATTTGAAAGATTTCGTTGCAGTACACGTCATGTCGTCTTTTGGCAATCGATTGAGAAAAGCTAGCTAGATAGCTCGCTAGCTAATCAAGCAAATCATCCAAACTTCAAGTTTGTAATTCTGCAAGAGCTTAACAGCATTCATTCTCATTTTCCTTTACCATAAAATAAATTAAAAAAAAAACTCTTTCTTTATAAAAATCTTAATCCAAAAAATCAAACACCAAGCCAAGCGGTCGGTCTCATAAGGCAAAAGATTTTTGCTTAAATTTCTTGGTAATATTATGACGACGCAAAACTATGGAAACAAATCCAACAACAAAGTTGAACAGTCGGTCGTCCTGTTATCTAGAGATGACAACACAACATAGAAATATGAATTTTGTAAAAGACATTAAAACAATAACCCAAAGAAAACAATTATGAATGTATTTATGTATGTATGTATCTATGTATGTTACCATCAAAAAATAATAGTTTGTTTTAATGAAAAGTTAGAATGCTGCGCCAACAGCATTTTACAACGTAACCAAGAGTAGGTTACTGAGTAAGTAAATCAGTTTAATATGCAATAAATTCACAGAACTACAGCAACTACATTAAAGCAGCAAACAGCAAAAAGACAAAAAAAAAAAAAGCAATGAAAACAGAAAGAAACCGTTTTTTCTTTTCATGTGCGAGTTCTCCTCTATGCATGGATGTTTGTTTACATTAATAGTTTTTTGGGGAAAAGAAAAATTTCATGAAGTAATTGAGAGATTTATGGGGAAACATATCAGACAAATAATCAACAGAGGGCTTCAGGCCATTACGCGACCAACAAGGAAACCTTGAGAAACAAAGCGACAAAATGAATTTTTTTTTTATTATTATTATTATTATTATTGCGGAGATTTATTATGATTGACAACGATTTTTATAAAAAGCAAATAATTTATGTCAATTAGATTTTTATAGTAATCATGCGGAGGCCAGAAGTGTATTAATGATTTCAGAGACCATTTTCAGTTGTCACACCCTTAAAAGCGGGAAAACATCATTTCTATTGAAAATTGAAAGGGAAACTACAGTAAGTTTTCCGATGGCCTTAGGAAATGTTTGCATATTATAGAGTGTAAAATTTTTACTTGATCGTCTCTATTTCCTTTCTTCGTTACTGAGCATTGATCACCACATTGGGAAAATACTATTTTAAAGCTTTACACACAACAACGCAGGTTTATCCCGCTTAACTACACACTGTGTACTCTTTGAAAACTTTGAATATATTCTATGCCGCAGAAAAATATTGAAAGCGAAAATAAATTATTTTTCTTGCCTCAGCGATGAACAGTTTCCACGCCGAAAGAGCAAAACAAATAACTATGATGCAGTTCGAGAGAACCATAAACGGCAATGGCAAACCTGAACATTCTTGATACCCGGATTTAGCGAGCTTAGCTAGGTTTAGTCTATTATGACCTTTTCCAACGCAACGAAATGATGAAATGCTCATCCATGTATGACAATGTGATTATCTAAGGCCAAATATTACAAGGACCGTTAGCATCAGGCATCAGGCACCAGACACCAGGCACCAGACCTATATCCTTTGGATTAACAAATGTTACAATCGTTCTGAATTGTGCTTATTGATGATTATTTTGTATAATATCGTATATATGAGTAATACAACCCGATGGGATTAAAGTTATCAACAAAGTTGTTAACAAAATTAACTTTCATGTTCAACTTGTCGGCAATTAAGCAAATTTAAAGTGATTTCGTTGCTATAGCGCAATGTAAAGCTTTTTGGTGATAAAGCTGCATGCATGGTTTTGTTTTCAGAAATTAATGCAGTTCTCAGTATTCCGCTCGCATTCAAATTCAAATTTATTCTCCCTATATTAACACCAACGCTACCCAGTATGCCAATTTGACTTGTAAAAAGAAGCTTCTAAGGCTTGCGGTATTTCACACAAATTTATTTTTTTATATTTATATATTTTAGTTTTCTATGATTATAAACATATTTTTCTCAACTCAAAAATTTTTTTTTATATTTATTTTTATTTTTTTCTATACGACTATATACATATTTCTCTTTCTCCCGCATTCAAATTTAAATGCGTGCTCCCTAAACTAAGACAAGTGCTATCCGTAATACCAGTTCGACTTGCAAAAAAAAGATTCTAGAACTTGTGGTATTTAAAAAATTTATTGTTTTATATTTATAATTTTTTTTTTTTATATAATTGTTCTATAATGATATACATCAAATTTCAATCAAATTGAGTCAGTCTGATTCACTTTCCTTGGGGAATGTCGCTCACCGCAGAAATTAATATAAAAGTTCGATTTTGAAGCAACATTGAATAACTGACAATTTTCTGGTTTTTTTTTTTTTATTTTCTCAAACATTTTTACAACTTCATTGGTATGTGTCGATAAAAATGTGTGTAGCGCATTCATTGACGCGTCTACTATCAGCGCCGTCTAAATAGTTGACTTTCCAATGTTGTTATACCATATAACACTATTTATAACGCTAAGCTAACACTTTTTACAATATCGAGCTTGTAGCATCGAGAAGACAAAGCCTCACCTTTTATTTATTATACCAATCAAATCTAGATTACTTTCTGATTTAATTTAATCATGTCTGTCCGTCTTGTCTTCGTGTATCCGACCTTCAGTTTACAATTCTTGATATATACCTTTGAGAAATTTGGTGCGCGGTCTTGTTCCGGCTAAACGGCGAATGGCGCTATTTGAAAATAGCGCCTGTCGCACCAACATTTCGACGTCTTCCAATATTATCGCATTATTTTGAAAAGTCGTTATAAGTGCAGGTATTTAATTATCGCCCGCTATAGTATCTTTACTTGTCTGAATGGTTTCTTTTAATCTTTGATGTTATTTGATTTGATCATCAGTATGAATATGATAATTTTTTTTTTTTTTTTTTTTTGCCATAAAAATATTTCCAATTATCATTTGAGTTTGTTCGCAAACAAATCGACTGACGTGTGGTAAGCATGCACAAGCAAAGATTCGATCGATCTTTCTGGTGTTAATGTGTGACGCATTTCAAGCGCTTGTATTAATATAAACAAGAAAGAAAAAAATAATAATCAAAAACAAAACACTACAGGTCACTTCCTCGAATCCTAAAGTAAAAGGAGAAGAATCAAACAACAAAAAATAGAAATAAAAAATCATTTGGAATAATATATTGTACGTAGACTGGCTTACTGCTGCGGCATTGTTTCTTGTGAACAATATCTCGTTACAGATTTTAACCTAAATATATCAAAAGAAGCTTTTGTTATCGCATAAAAACTGCCAACAAACGATTCACCACCACCACAATCACAAAAAAGAGCAGTACACTCAGTCCTCATAAACATGCGGAAGATTATTTACATGCCGCCACAATTTGTATTCAAGTATAATACAAACGCATATACATATATATGTGCACATATATATTTCTATGCATATATTTATATGCAATGCAAAGTTCATTAAAGTTAACTTTTCACATTTTCCCCCAGAACTTCTTAACATTTATGCAAATTCTATAGTTTCCTCTATCGAGTATAAGATATTAAGAGTACGGTGGAATATCGTATGAAAATTGAACGAATAATTTTATCAGAATACAATTGTCAGATCATGTCGTCTACTTACAAAATTTCATTTGTTTCTAAATTAAAGCTAATTGACTTATAAATTAACTATGATGGACATTAGTTGCCTTTATCACCAAGGAATTTTCAACACGACAAATCAATCTTCTCCTTCAGCAAGAGGAACCCTTATCCAAGTATTTAATTGCATTTCACTACAAATGCCATCGCTGCATGTGGGACCACTTTGTATAGAATAGGAAGGAAGGAAGGAAGGCCGTCATATAGATGAAAAGCAAAATAAAGGTAAAAGCCTTCTCATCTGGTATTGTGAACATTTCTAAACCCGCTAATAAGAATTAGTAAAGTAAGAAAAGGCCTTGAATCACTTAGAAAGAAGGTCTGCGTTCACTGAAAACTGCCAAAGGTTACCAAGAGTTTGCCAAAGCACTAGAAGACATTAGCTCTTTAATTGAAGATATGCAGGATTATCGAGGAAGTAAGCGGAGAGAGGTTTGGTATCATCAAAGCAAGAAAAAAATTAAATCACTAATTGAAGCGGATAATGAGGTTAAAATAGGAAATAAAAACCTTTGGTATTATCGAAGAGCGATGGGAACAATGCCTGATTATTGCAAAGCCTGAATACTCTTAGAAATCCTTCAGCCTCTTAAAAACCTATTTTCAAAAATACAGGAAATCTTTGAAACATGTCACTACAATGCAGTAACGCCCCATATCTCCAGACCTGAAGAATGGTCTTCTTTACTAGAGTTGGTTCGAATAATTACCCAATTGGCAAGGCAATCATTAGCTTATTCTTCAGTGCGTACCATAAAAAGCCTATTATAAGAATGAAATTTCTATCGTACGATATTTCCTACCAGTCAATGCTCTGGATATGCAGTGACTTTTTTCTTGGTTATAAGGTATCAGAGATTTTCTTATGTCAACTTTCTCTCATCCACCTATTAATAGATGCCGCCGTGGAAATAGAAAGCCGTACGTTCCGTATGTACATATAAATTTTATACAATCTGTTTGCTTCCTTATCTATTATTTAGTAGGAAAATTTTCATTTCTTTTTTGCTGACTAAACAAACAAACAAACGAACGCTTGCAGCAATACTGCATTATCCAGATCATTAATTTATCACAAAAACAGACTGATAGACACAACAGGGATTTCAATCCAATTTCGCTTAAATTACAATTTACCTTATCTTGTTACATTGCTTGATTTGAGAAAT